AATGAAAAAGAAATAGAAGTTGTATGAATGAAAAAACACTTGGAGAGATAAAGTAGAAGTTCTATGAATGTTAAAATTGTTAAAGAACTGAATTTGAACATTACAGCAAATATGGTAAAGAATTTAAAAGATGGCTGAAAAGGCCTTCATGATGAAAGAAGTAGAAAAAAATGTAAATGACACATGAATACATTACATAATATCTTTAATTTACAATTTACATCAACTTCCAAAATTCAAACTGAGTTTTCATATCAGTGAAACTGAAAGAAAAAAAGAAAAATATTATTGTCAGTCCTTTAACATTTTGTGTGCAATGAAATGATTAATCAAAAACCATTAAAAATAAAAATAAAAACATAAACATATAAAGAAACAACATTCTTTAGTACCTTGATTCAAAGTATGAACTCTTTGTTTGTAAACAGGTTTTGTAAGCAGAAATCTTTACATGGGTGACCAATTTGTCTCTTAATCAGCATTTCCACTTAACCCTTGTGCACCCCTTAGGACCGTTTTGGTCCTTCTTAACTATACTTTGGGGGATAATTTTGGCTGTGATGATGCAAATGGCATGAAAGTTTGTCAAAGTATGTAATTTTAGGTGCAATTTAATTTTTTTTCTTTTTTCTTCCTTTGACCTTTTTTGCATGTGAGCAATTTTTATTACTACAGTAGACACGGAAGGACCGGAACGGTCCCATTGACTCCCATTAAAACATATTTTCTTCAATACACTGCCAATGCAGTATAATTTTTGGATTTTTTTTTTTCTCATGTACACCTATTCTTTGAGGGTCAAACTGTTTTTTTTTTATGCCGACCAGCAGATGGCGCCATTTTTCTTTTTTCCTGCCATACCCTTTAGAACCAGAGGGGCACTGTTTTCCCTTTTTCACAGAGCTGGTTTGTTTCATGCATATAGATAGATAGATTGATAGATATATAATTTATTGATCCCAAACTGGAAAATTCTCATGTTACAGCAGCAAAAAAATACAAAATAGAATTAAATATAAGAAGAAATATGTACAATGCAGACTAAAAATACTAAATATACATAATGAATACAGGCTAAATTTACTAAACATCTTTAGAGAGAAAATAATTTAATAAAAACTGTTTAGGTGTGTTTAAGGGACATCATGGATTATGTGCATGTGTTTTCATGAATTACTTGTGTGTGTGTGTGTGTGTGTGTGTGTGTGTGTGTGTGTGTGTGTGTGTGTGTGTGTGTGTGTGTGTCTGTGCATATGCAGCCATGAGAATAGCCAAAATCCTTCCAGAAACAGCGGCAGTTGTACAATCTGCACCTGCAGTTTCCTTCTGTGTGTGTGTGTATGTGTGTGTGTGTGTGTCTGATTGTGTGTGTGTGATTGTGTGTCTGATTGTGTGTGTGTGCGCACGTGTGTGAGCAAGCTCATGAGATTAATAGCGGGCACCTGATCAATGTGATAGTCCTTGAGCCAGACCAGATGTCAGTACCACTTGGGTGGGCAAAACCTTAAATATTCTAAATTGTTTTTAGGGTCAATATAAGTAAATTAAAATATGATAGACTTTTCATAGGGGTAGCTTTTTATATTTTTTCTCATTTTGTTATTTTCCTCAATAGGCGAATTTTTGTTAACTCCAAAAGCAACACAGAAAGTCAAAAGCACATTAAAAGTCACACTCTTTTTGGGTCACACTGCTCTTTTCTATAAATGAATCAAACCTGTGTCTAATTAAATGAGTTGATGAAGTGGGAGTGGCCCAATTTGATGGTGGAGCAGTTCTTTCAGGTATCATAGCACTTACTATCCTGCAAGTGTGTGAGGACATGCAAACCACCAGACTGCACCTGTCTCAGCAATGGGCTGAAGTGCACAAACCTGTGCAAATTACAAACTTGTGCCAACCAATACAGTGAGGAAGAGCCCCTTGCACACCGGCAGATTCAGATGTAGAAGAAGATACAGATACTGATGTCGATTACTGATGTTGATTAATAAATGATGACCAAAGGGAGCTATGTTAACAGACCCACTGTGACTCAGTGACAGTATTATGTACTAAGCCAAAACTTGACAGTCATATTTGCTGTCACTGTTCCTTATGGAAAGAATAGGACTTTGAATAGGAATTGGAGTTTTCTCAGATGATTGTATAGAGTGTATACATCAGTAGATCGTATTTTGTTGCTAATGTCTTCTTGCCCTGCACCAGCCAGGATGATTGTATATTGAGTTCCTGCATTGAAAATATGTCAGTGTCATATTAAAGTTGTGTTATTATAATGCTATTAGTCTGCATTTATTTTACTTCTACTTCTAAGTAAAAAAAAATCCTTAATTTAGACCTTGAATTAGACCTGACAATTGGCTAATTGAAGCTTATATATACACACCTGTATTAGATAAATTACTTGAAATACTACTTAGGGGGTTATTACAAGTCTCTATGGCTAGCCAATAGTTCAAACACACCTAAATGAGAGGTTAAAATGAAAGAAGGCTAATTTTGAAGGAAGGCGATTTTTCATTTTTGAACAGCTGCACTCTATTACTTCAATGAGTGATAACTACAATAAAGCTACCAGTTACCAAGGTCTATCATATAAAAAATTATTGTAGGGATGTATAGCAATAAAAAAATCACAACTAGAATTTGCCCACCCAAGTGGTACCGATATGTGAAATTTTGGTTCTTGGCTCAAGGACTATGAGTGCGTAAAAGCAAGCAAGGAAGGGGTGGAGTGTGTGTGTGTGTGTGTGTGTGTGTGTGTGTGTGTGCGTGTGTGCGTGTGTGTGATTGTGTGTGCTAGCGAGCGTGCGTGCGTGTGTGAGCGCACGCAAGAGGTTCATAGCTGGCACCTGAAGAGGGAGGGCTTCATCAATGTGCGTGCGTAAAAGCAAGGGATGGATGGATGGATGGTGTGTGTGTGTGTGTGTGTGTGTGTGTGTGTGTGTGTGTCTGTGTGTGTGTGTGTGTGTGTGTGTGTGTGTCTGATTGTTTGTGTGTGTGTGTCTGATTGTTTGTGTGTGCGTGTGTCTGATTGTTTGAGTGTGTGTGTGTGTGAGCGAGCGCACAAGGTTCATAGCGGGCACCTGAAGAGGGAGGATATCATCGATGTGCGTGCATAAAAACAAGAGATGGATGGATGGATGGATGGTGTGTGTGTATGTGTGTGTGTGTGTGTGTGTGTGTGTGTGTGTTATACACTACAGAAAAAAAAATCTTTTCAAATCAATTTTCTCATCAAAGTTTACCAATCCCATGCTCTTATAATCAAAAGTTTAAAAAAACAATTGAATTGGAAAATAATTCATCAAGTGTGTTTTTTGACTTAAAATAATATCAGGTTTTTACAAAAAAGACTGACATTTATGGGGTTAAAATACACAACCTGAATAAAGTTTTGCTATTTATGATTAGGTTATAAGTCAATGATGGCAGCCAAAAAAAAAATAAATTACATATATTTATTTAGACAATATTTCTACTGCAGCAAAATGGAGGGGACCGTTTCGGTCTCTTAGGGGTGTTAATTGAAGTTTTTATTATTATTCAACACTACAGAAAAAATACTAATCATTTCAAATCAATTTTCTCATCAATGTTTACCAATCCCATGCTCTAATAATCAAAAGTTTAAAAAAACAATTTGCATTTTTAGGATGGAAAATAATTCACTAAGTGTGTTTTTTGACTTAAAATAATATCAGGTTTTTACAAAAAAGACTGGCATTTATGGGGTTAAAATACAAAACCTGAATAGAGTTTTGCTATTTATGATTAGGTTATAAGACAATGATGGCAGCCAAAAAAAAAAAATTAAATATATTTATTTAGACAATATTTCTACTGCAGCAAAATGGAGGGGACCGTTTCGGTCCCTTAGGGGTGTTAATTGAAGTTTTTCTTAGGGGTGCACAAGGGTTAATAAAGAAATAGGAGAATAACACTAAGTGGAAATACTGTGTCAGCATTTCCACTTAATAATAATAACAATAATAAAGAAATAGGGTCATTCCATGTCAATTCAACCAAGAATTGCCACTCACGTCACAGATTTTGATGAAATTTGGTGGAGTGATTGGCCTTCAGGAGAAACTGTCAGAGCTCAAATATTTTTGTTCAAAGCCATCTAATTAGTGAGATAGGGGCTAATGAATTTTTGGCTAAGTAGCATGACATGCATTACAAAAGTGTTCATATCTCTAGAAGTATGGCACCTAGAGAACTGATTCAGGTGTCATTTTAAAGCTCTCTCAAAGTTCTATCTTTCTGTTCATAACATTTTTTTCCCAAATTAGATCAGAAAAAAATTATAAAAGACCAAAAACTTAAATTGGAAATAGCAAAAAACGCGCGTCCTTCAATTTTCTTCATATTCACACTAAAGAAAGACTTTCATGTCCAATAGCATCCCTGCAAGTTTCAGGATGGGCATTCCATAACTTTTTGAGTTATCAGTCAAAATGTGTGGTTTGTTAGGTCGAAAATCGCCATATTTGGCACATTATACAGTTCTGACCTCATCTGGAGTCAGCCCCACTTGCCTGCTTGTGTAAAATATTACTTCCTCATAGTGCAAAATGCTTTCTTTGAGTTTTTTTTTCATTTGTATGTTATCCCATATTTATATGAAAAATGGCTAGAATAGCTTATTTTTGCTCAGTTTTCCATCGTATTTCATTTGTATTTGCACCTATATCCAGAATATGAATGATCTTAGCTTCATGGGAGAATCATTTGGACATACCTGCATGTCCTGGATCCTAGGGTTGACAAATAACTTCTACCCATGCACCCTGAAATTTTGTTGCTGGTTTCCCTGTGAAGTATTCAAGGGTATTTATCCTGAGCCCGATTTGCCTCTGCTCCAAAGTGCATCAAGAAATTGAGACTCAGGGCAACAGAGCACCATTATTCACTATACTACATCTATCAAGCACTTTGTTGGTCATACACTCACACACCATCAAGTTCAAGAAGCTGTACAATAAATGAACACCATGCTGAAGGCAAAGACAGCTTTCTTATTGCGTCAAAAATCATGCTGCAACCCATTTGGTGATTATGTCAAACCAAAAACGGCTGGGTTGAGGGCTATAACAAGGAAAGCTATCGCAAATCATCCTGACTTAAACTTAAGGTTGGGACAGAAGATTTGTGACATTTGCCGAAAGAAAATGATGAAAACTCATGTAGAAACAGTTGATCAGGAAAAGTCCCCAACCACAGACAGCAATGATACTATTGATGCTGACAAATATTCTCCAAAGCCTGGCTGCTCTGAAGACTCTGAATATCTTTCCCAGAGGGCTGAATTGAGCATTTTAAACCAGTCACTGCAATTAATTGGAGAATCACCTGTACGGACCATAACACGAAAAAGAGAGAGTGACAAGTATCTAAAGATGAAATCAAAGAAAATAGATGATACTGTGAAAAAAAGACTGGAATATGCTACAGGGAAATCAACAAAACTCCAGGATGCAGAAGTGGAAATGATTGAGCAACTCAAGGATAAGTTCCAATAAACTAAACAGAAAAGTGAAAAGGTACAAGTCCTCACTTTTCTCCCTAAGAGCTGGACAGTAGCTGAAATCAGGGAGGAGTTCAACGCAACAAACTACATGGTGAAGAAAGCAAAGGCATTAGTAAAAGAGGAGGGCATTCTAGCAATGCCTAACCCGAGGTCCGGGAAAGTATTATCAGAGATGACTGAGGATATGGTACAAGCATTCTATTTGTCCGATTCAGTGAGCCTGACATGAAAGACTACATTTCTGTCACTGTGGATGGAATAAAGCAACATGCGCGAAAGCATCTCATGCTTTGCAACCTACATGAAGCATATGAATTCTTTAAAGAATTACATCCTGACGTCAAAGTTGGATTCTCCAAGTTTGCTGAACTCCATCCAAGGCAATGTGTTTTAGCAGGTTCCAGTGGGACACACTCAATTTGTGTGTGTACAACACACCAGAATATAAAGCTCATGTTCACTGGATGTAAGTCAGACTCTGTGACCAAGGGTGAGTTCAAGCACTACCGTCACTGTCTTGCTGCTATTCAGTGCAATCCACCTCGCATTGAGTGCTTTTTCGGCAAATGTTTGCAGTGTCCAGGAACAGACAGGCTAAGAGAGAAACTTGAACGAAATATGCAAGAAGACATGATTGCTCAAATTCAGTACAAACAGTGGACATCAACAGATAGGTCAAACCTAGAAACGAGGGTCCAGACAGTTCCGGAGTTCATGGAGTCTTTCGAAAGCAGCCTTTGTAAACTTTTGCTCCATGACTTCATTGCAAAGCAGCAAGTGTCTTGCCTTCAAAGTCTGAGACGTAATCTGGAGCCTGGTGTCATCCTGGTCATCGCAGACTTTGCGGAGAACTATAGCTTTGTAGTACAGGATGCATCTCAGTCATTCCATTGGAACAATCTCCAGGCTACAATCCATCCGTTTGTTTATTATTACAAGAGTGATGAACAAGACTCACCTGTACATAACAATCTCGTCATCATTTCAGAATGCAATATTCATGACACTGTTGCAGTTCACCTTTACCAAAAACAGCCTGTTCAGTTCCTTACCAACAGTAATGGACAGAGCCCTAGAAGGATTTGCTACTTTTCTGGTGGCTGTGCTGCACAGTACAAGAATCGGAAAAACTTCATCAATCTGTGTCACCATGAGGAAGACTTTGGCATACCAGCTGAATGGCATTTCTTTGCGACCTCTCATGGTAAGGGACCATCTGATGGACTTGGAGGGACAATAAAAAGGTTAGCAGCCAGGGCTAGTCTACAAAGACCATATGAAAACCAGATCACCACCCCTCAACAGCTTTTTGAATTTGCACAGTCAGAGCTGAAGAACATCAACTGCCAATTTGTGAGCACTGAACAGTACAAGCAGGAGTCTCAAATCCTGAAGGACAGGTTTGAAGTTGCTCGCACAATTCCTGGCACCCAGAAATTACACTACTTCTGTCCGATATCGAAGGAGAGAGTCAGAGTCAAAACATTCTCATCTTCTGATGAATACAGGGATGAGCATATTAGTTTAACACCAGCGGTCAGCAGCGTCTCAGCCATAAATGGCTATGTCACAGTGGCATATGACAACCTGTGGTGGCTTGCATGTGTGAAAGAAAGCATATCAGAAAGCCATGAATTGCAGGTTACCTTCCTCCATCCACATGGACCAGCCAAATCGTACACATTCCCTGAACCACCTGACATTCTGACAATTGACTATCATGATGTACTCACATCAGTTCATCCAGTCACTGCCACAGGATGCACATATTCTGTTTCTGATAAAGAGACTAAGGCTGCTATGCCTGCCCTGAAAAAAAAAAAACTAAGGGCCTAAATCAAGATGTACAGGTATGTAAGAATGACATTCACTTTGAACCCAAGATGACACTACAATCTAAGGTATTATCTGTGTGGGTCATAGTGAATCAAATGTGATGAAATTCTTGGGTTAATGGGCTATTTAGGTCATTTTTAATTTTAGTATGAGGGATTATGCAAATGAGTCCAATCATGTTTTGACTAATTGCTCAGAAAGTTATGAAATGCCCATCCTGAAACTTGCAGGGATGCTAGTGGACATTAAAGTCTTTCTTTAGTGTGAATATTAAGAAAATTGAAGGACGCGCGTTTTTTGCTATTTCCAATTTAAGTTTTTGGTCTTTTATAATTTTTTTGGGGTCCAATATGGGAAAAAATGTTATGAACTTATGACAGAACTTTAAGAGAGCTTTAGAAATGACACCTGAATTAGCTCTCTAGGTGCCATACTTCCAGAGATATGAACACTTTTGTAATGCATGTCATGCTACTTAGCCAAAAATTCGTTAGCCCCTATCTCACTAATTAGATGGCTTTGAACAAAAATATTTGAGCTCTGACTGTTTCTCCTGAAGGCCAATCACTCCACCAAATTTCATCAAAATCTGTGACGTGAGTGGCCATTTCTTGGTTGAATTGACATGGAATGACCCAATAGGAGAATAACAGTAAGTAAGGAAATGCTGTCAGCATTTCCACTTAATAATAATAATAAAGAAAATGGCTGACGGGAAGAACAATAAGTGGAAATGCTTAATCAACATTTCCACTTAATAATAATAATAATAATAATAATAATAATAATAATAATAATAACAAAGAAAAATGGCCGACAGGAATAATAATAATAAGTAGAAATTCTTAATCAGCATTTCCACTTAATAATGATAATCTACCGTGTACATGTTATGAGCTACTTTCTAATAACACTCATCTCTTGTGTCATCTCCCCAGTGAGACCAGGCTCCTTCTGGAATGGTGCCACTCCAGTATTTGTACTGGCCAGTTTCCAGTGTCCAGTGACTTTTCCCTCTCCGCAGCTAAGGTACTATTAGTAGGAAAAACACTTAAAACATCACAGAGTGCGTGCATTACTGTATTTTATGAGTTAATTTGTCTTTCTTCACATTGCACATTCTGATGTGACTTATGACTATTCCTAAATGTGCACATTGCGATGATGATGCTGAGACTATGTATAGATTATTCAACATGTAGCAGCAGACTGTTTGTGGGCTCCTTATGGGGGTTTGGGCCTGAATTGACTCAGACAAATCTGTAACTCTGACACTGTATTACATATGTAACCAAATATCGGGTCCATTTGGTTACATTTATTTACTGTCAGAGTTAACAAAAGATCTTGAACTTGAACACACATTGTTGGGGTTTGGCTCATAATGACCATACACTGTATATAAGATGGACAACCTGGTTCCGCCTTCCGCCTGTATACGGATTTAAAGCCAAAAAGCTCTTGGTAATTCCGGGTTTTTCTCCACTTCCTTGAAACCAGAGCTGTGCAGTAGCGTTGTGCGCATTCGGCCACGCAGTCGCCGAGAGTCCCTGTGATGACGCTCGGCTCAAACAGCGTATCCCCCCGGGAGAGCTACGCAATCCCTGAACGCCCATAGGCTGTACCAGGTGTAAATCATAGAAAACATGAACCCCCTAATAACTTTTAAAAACTGAGCTGTAAAGAAAAAAAGGACTTGGGCACAAACCAGTCTTACTGTAACTACATGTCAACATCACAACCAGGGGGGAGAAAAATTTATGTTCTGTGTAATAAATTTCTAAAGTTTGTCCACAGTCCCATAAGCTTTGCTGGCGGAGGCGGGATTTATGACCTGTACTGCAGCCCACCATCAGAGGGTGCTGTTCTCGGAGTGGCTTCACCCAGCGAGGAGGCAGACTCTGTCCATCTTATATACAGTCTATGATAATGACCCATCCTTCAAATGTCTATAGAACAGAAATATATTCATATGCATTTTAGATGGCTTTAGACTTTGGCATACGCAGGCACAGCACACACAGAGCCACACTCTACTACACCAAAACAACCATAATAATATCTTGCATTTGTATAGCGCCTTTCAAGATACCCAAAGCACTTAACAACACACTACAATAAACATAACTAGATAACAAAAGCCTGGATAAACAAGTGTCGCTTCAGAGCAGACTTGAAAGAGTCAAGAGTCTGTGCTTGGCGAATCTCAGAGGGGAGAGAGTTCCAGAGAGGAGGGGCGGCCACACTGAAGGCTCTGTCACCGAGGGATCGCCTTTTCCCATGACAGACAGTGAGGAGCCCAAGGTCCGCAGACCGCAGAGTACGCGCCGGGATGTAGTCCTTGAGAAGGTCAGACAGATAGTGTGGGGCTAGGGCATGGAGAGCTTTATAGGTGGGCAGGAGGAGTTTGTAGATGATACAATATTTGACAGGAAGCCAGTGGAGGTGTTTGAGGGTGGGGGTGATGTGCTGCCAAGGTTTGGTCCGGGTGAGCACTCTGGCAGCTGAGTTTTGGACGTTCTGCAGACGGTCCAAGTCTTTTTTAGGAAGTCCGAACAGGACACCGTTGCAGTAGTCTAAGCGGGAGGATACAAAGGCATGAATGAGTTTTTCTGCAACAGAGTCTGAGAGTGACGGGCGGAGTCTGGAGATGGTCTTAAGGTGGAAAAAGGCTGACTTGGTTACGGATTTAATGTGGGTTTGGAATGAAAGGGCAGAGTCCAAGATGACGCCCAGGTTGCGCACCTCGGAGGATGGGGAGATGGAGCGAGGAAATCACCAATTCTGCGAAGCAGTGCCTTGGGAGCCATGAGCAAGAGCTCTGTTTTCTTGGCGTTGAGTTGGAGTAGGTTGGTGGTTAGCCAGGTCTTTATTTCTTGTAGGCAGTTGACAATGGGGAGTGGAGGGAGCAGAGTGGTGGTTGTGGTGCTGAGATATATCTGTGTATCATCAGCATAACAGTGGAAATCAAGGCCGTGCTTGCGGATGATCTGGCCGAGTGGGAGCATGTATATGGTGACGAGGAGTGGACCAAGTACGGAACCCTGTGGGATGCCGTGTAGAACTGGGGCTGGGTGGGAAGTGGAACCATGCATGGAGACAAACTGCAGGCGGTTGGACAGGTAGGAGTGAAACCAGGAGAGCGCGGATCTGGTGATATTGAGGTGTGTAGAGAGGTGGTTGAGGAGGATGGAGTGAGAGACTGTGTCAAAGGCTGCAGAGAGGTCCAACAGGATGAGGATGCTGATGTTGCCGGAGTCAGCCGCGATGAGGAGGTCGTTGATGATTTTGACCAAGGCGGTCTCAGTGCTGTGGTGCGCTCTGTAGGCAGACTGGAAGGGTTCGGAGAGTTTGTGGTTGGACATGTGCTGCTGGAGCTGTGCAGCGACTACTCTTTCCAAGGTCTTGCTCAGGAACGGGAGATTAGAAATCGGCCGGTAGTTGGTAAGTTCGTCGGGGTCCAGACCAGGCTTTTTCAATATGGGGGTGACAGATGCGGTTTTGAAACTGGTGGGAATCGTGCTAGATTGCAGAGAGGAGTTGATGATATTGGTAATGATGGGAGCCAGGGTCGGTAGACAGGCCTTCACCAGCGTGGTGGGCAAAGGGTCCAGGGAGCAACAGGAGGCCTTGGCTTTGGTGACCAGTTCGGTGGTTAGGGACTCTTCCACTGGAGTGAAGGAGGTGAACGGGGGACACGTGGCAGAGGGTGCAGTGTCCTGCAGCTGAGGTGTTTGCAGACAGGTGGCAGATGTCTGGAGCTGCCGATGGATGGTATCCACCTTGTCCTGGAAGAAGTTAAGGAATCTGTAGCAGAGGTTGGAATCACCAGAGGCTGGAACGGGTGGGAGGGGGCTGAGAAGCTTGTTCACTGTGGAAAACAGCTTTCTGGGGTGGTTCTCCTGAGACCCAAAAAGGGTGGAGTAGTACTGGGTTATGGCTCGTGAGAGAGTGACCTTGTAGTTTTTTATGTGGTCGTGGAAGGCAAGAAGGTGGATGGTGAGGCCAGATTTTTTGTAGAGCCTCTCCAGCCGTCGGCCAGTGGACTTAATGGCCCGGAGCTCGGGAGTGAACCAGGGAGTCGTTTGGTTGAATGAAACTGTCTGTGTTTTGATGGGGGCGAGAGAGTCCAGGCTATTGGCGAGAGCAGTGTTGTAGGAGGAGACCAGGTCACCAATGGAGGGGTCAGGGGAGATCCCTGCTAGGTGGGCAGCAATCATGGTGGATAGGGCTGGGGCACTCACAGCCCTAATGTTCCGGAAGGTGATGGTGCGTTTTGGCCGCTGCCTTGGCTGGGAGGCAGGAACAGAGAAGGCAATGGCATGATGGTCAGAGACAGCAAGGTCCAGGCACTGCAAGTCGTTGGGGGGGTGCCAGTGGAACACACCAAGTCCAGCGTATGACCCTTGTTGTGGGTGGGGCCACGCACATGTTGACTGAAGTTGAAATATTCCAACACTTACATGAACTCGGTGGCGAAAGCACAGCTGGTGGAATCCACGTGCACGTTCATGTTGCCCAGCAAGTACGTGGATGGAGACATGGCACAGACAGGGGTGAGTAGCTCAGATAGTTCTGACAGGAAGGCAGACCGGTCAGAGCTGGTGTTTTTAGGTGGACAGTACACCAACACAAACTGGAATTGGGAGAAACCAGCCGGTGTGAACACTATACATTCAAATGAGGTAGCAGTGGTTACTACGACCTCCTTGGTGAGGATGTCAGCCCGATAAATCACAGCCAGCCCACCGCCACCACCCTTTAAGCGAGGCTTTTGTATATAAGCATAGCCTGGGGGAGTGGCTTTATTCAGTGCCATGAACTCCTGTGATTTTTGCCATGTCTCAACAATGCAGCAGATGTTAATGTGGCATTCAATGATGATGTCATGAATGAGTCCGGGTTTATTGTTGATGGATTGAGCATTCAACAGCATGACTGAAGCTGCTGTCATGGGCTGGGTAGGAGGGGCTTGACTGTCAACACAGACCAGTGGGCGGAGGTAACGGGTGCGCACATGGATTTTGTTGTGATGACGTGGTGGAGCAGCTGACCGGAACACAGACGTTATGGAGGGAATGGCTGAGTCTGAATAAATAAACATGCGTTGGGAGCCTCTATGGACATATCATGGGCGACGCAAGAGACAGAGGGATTTGATCACCGTGATGGAGTGGGGAGTGGAGTGGCTGACGAGTTCGCGGAGCCTCACAGAGGAGTACTGCAGTCGTGTCCCCATCCTGGTTAGCAGCAGGGAGCTAGCGTCGGCGAGCGGTGGCTAGCGGAGGCCAACGTCACCACCTCTGTGTGCGGCAGCCCAGAAATCCAACTGTCGGAGAAAGATGGTGACCAGCCAGTAACACAAACTGAGGACGAGGAGCTTTTACCTAAAAGTTGGGTAACGTCAGTTGTATGGACTTGGTTTGGGTTATAAAAGTCAGACACAGACCAGTTAACTGTTCTTTGCAAACTGTGTGCAACCGGCTTTTTTTCACTGCTTCAAGATAGTACTACATAACTTCAGCAGCCGCTTCTATAAAATGAAGCATTAATTTCAGACACATTCACAAGGTAGACAGAACTTAAATAGAATAAGTAACAATCCAATCTGGTGGGCCAGAATGCTATGACGTCTGTGGACGTCTTTAATTTGGCATTCACACAATGAAGTCTTAAGGGGAACACCATGAATGCACCATGTTTTGATTTGATTTATTCACTCTTACACCCACTTTGTATAGGTCAAGGGTAGGCTAATGCAAGCTTTGGGGTTTTCCCCTTTCTCAAAACATATGGTCTGTAACTCTCAGTACTGGGATTCTTTTGGGTTTAATCCCTGTGCTCATGGAAGCGTGCCAAACATTTTGTGCCAGATTGATTAGGTGCAGGCTTTCTTGGTATGACTGAACATATAGGGCTCTATTTTCGTTCGCGCCGGTGAGGCGGCGGAGGGCGGCGAGCCCCATGCAGTTGTATTTTCGTCTGGCGGAGCCCGGCGTAAGGCGAGTTTGGTATTTTCGTGGACTGAGTCGCACGGAGGCGAGCCGAGATCCGCCAAGCTGGGCGTGGTGGCGTGGCAGGGGGAGGTGTTGACAGAATCAGCTGGCTCAGTGACATTTTCGTGCTCGCCACCGGCGTGTAACGTGCGCTGAAAGCTCGCCGATTCAAACCTGGTCAGCTTTCAGCGCAAGGCGGAACGCAGCTGGTCTAGTAGTATTTTGGTAGACCAGCGGCGTATCGACATACGTCACTGATGCCTCACCGGCAGGTTTCCACAGTGTCAGGCACATTTCAGTGCAATAAATAATCATCAACAACTATTAATCTGAGTCAGCACATATATTTAGATCTATATCGATATATTCTGATCTATATCTGATCTGATGAGCGCGTTTGGCACGCGTTTGGCACGCGTTTGGGCACACAACCTGACCGAATCAATACAGCTGAAACTGCATCAAATTAAATTAAATATCTAGTAAATAAACACACATGATGAAGTTAACAAGATATGTAATGTGTCTCCCTCCTTTTCTTTCTTCCTCTTATTTCTCGCACAGCTCGACCTGGACACGTCTCCGTGTCCTCTGTCCGTCTTGCTGCAGCTGCTGCGGCTGAACAGATGATTTGTTTCAGTGCTCAGATGCGTTATCTACTTTAAGCCGACATACGGATATTATAATATTCAGTTTTGTGGGCCAAATTTATTTTATATGCCAACATCTATGAAAGAAAGAGCCAGGCCACGGAGCGCGATGCGTCATTTACGCACAGATGGTTCCAATTTTAATGCCATTTTTGGAGTTTATGTTGTGATCTGTGCGCTAAACCCACCTTTGTCAAGTGAGGTTTGAATATATGCAACTTTATGTGAGTGTCTTTTTTGTGGAAAAGGGTGTTTGTCTTACCAGTGGGTCCAACATTACGCACACCAAATCTATCTGTGCTCAGATGAGAGAGTGTGGAGGACACTTGTTGAGCAGCTGGCCTCTGTCGCCATCATGTGGCATAACTGTCTTCAGACATCTCTTGATCTCTTTGACTACTTCATGAAAATAGTAATACGCCTCGCCGGTGGCGGATTTAAAGGCAAGGAGAGGAGCTTATGTGATTGGTGAAAACAGGTCTCGGCTGTGTTAAACCACTATACGCCCTCTCTCCTCCCCGTCTACGAATTATGCTGCCGGGAGGAGCTGAGTTAGGGAGGGGGGATACTTACGCCGGGCTGCGCGGCTCACCAAAATACCAAAATGTGCTTGGGAACGCCTTGTCAGCGCGGCGGATCTGATTGACGCTGCGCTTGCGGCACGTCTTCGGCGAGGCACCAAAATAGAGCCCATAGTCTTAGCATTGCTCTTGTTCAAGCAGAGACATTTTTTTTGTTTTAAAGGCTGGACAGCTGAATGCCGCTGCAGCCCGTCAATCGCAGGTATGTGTATGGAGCGCAACAGTAAATTCTTCCTTCAGGTCCTTTATATCATGTGTTTTAAGGCTTGAACCTAGCCAACATAACAATGAAAATATCAGGGATGTTTTCCCATTGTTAGGGCCCGAGCGTAGCTGCTAAGCAGCTGCGAGAGCCCTATTATTCCCCAAGTGGTTTTTCTTTAGGGCCCGAGCGTAGCTGCTAAGCAGCTGCGAGAGCCCTATTATTCCTGATGGATTCTTAGGGCCCGAGCGTAGCTGCTAAGCAGCTGCGAGAGCCCTCTTGTTCCTGTAGTTTCCTTCTTTTGTTATTATTATTTTTCCTCCCCTTTGAACTGGAAAATGGCCCACTTCCCACTGGCGAAAACTCATGAAATTTGGCAGGACGACCGGGCCTGGTGAAAAATTTGATATTCCGAAGTCGCCCAAACAAGAAAATGCAAAATGGCTCCATAGCGCCCCCTAAGGTGAAAATTCACACTATTGACTGTCACGCCTGTACGCTTTGTCAAAATGACACAAAAATTGACACACACATGTAACTCAATAAGATCTACAAAAAAGTCAGTGCGGGCGTATCTGTCAAATGTACGGTTAAAGGGTTATTTCGCATTTTTTGCCGATCCGCACACATTGGAATTTCGCTAACTCCTCCGAAGGCTTTCGTTCCACCGGCACCACATTTGCTCAGGCCAATCTACACCCCATGGCCATTAAAAGTTATTCAAATCATGACGCTGCACCCCACGGTTTAGGTTCTAGGGGGCGCCAAAGATAACCCTAAAATCCACATATTTAAAAGTCTTATAACTTTTTATTTTTGCCCTCACTGGCCTCCAAGTTTTCTAGGATGATGCAATGTCCAGCCATCAACACATTTGTGAAGGAATTTTTACTCCCAAAAGAGCGCCCCCCCATGGCAGGAGAAAAAAGTCCATTTTTTCTTGTCCCCTAAGGTGAAAATACACATTGTTGAGTGTAACACCTGTACGCTTTGGCAAAATGACACAAAAATTGACACACACATGTATCTCAATAAGATCTACGAAAAAGTCATAGCGCGCGTATCTGTCAAATGTACGGTTAAAGGGTTATTCCGCATTTTTTGCCGATCAGCACACATTGGAATTTCGCTAACTCCTCCGAAGGCTTTCATTCCACCGGTACCACATTTGCTCAGGCCAATCTACACCCCATGGCCATTAAAAGTTATTCAAATCATGACGCTGCATCCCACGGTTTAGGTTCTAGGGGGCGCCAAAGATAACCCTAAAATCCACATATTTAAAAGTCTTATAACTTTTTATTTTTGTCCTCACTGGCCTCCAAGTTTTCTAGGATGATGCAATGTCCAGCCATCAACACATTTGTGAAGGAATTTTTACTCCCCAAAAGAGCGCCCCCCCATGGCAGGAAAAAAAAGCCAATTTTTTCTTGTCCCCTAAGGTGGAAATTCACACTATTGACTGTCACGCCTGTACGCTTTATCATATTGACACAAAAATTGACACACATATGTATCTCAATAAGATCTACAAAAGAGTCGATTTGCGCGTATCTGTCAAATGTACGGTTAAAGGGCTATTTTGCATTTTTTGCCGATTCGCACACATTGGAATGTGGCTAACTCCTCCTAAGGCTTTCGTCCCACTGACACCAAATTTGCTCAGGCCAATCTACACCCCATGGCCATTCAAAGTTGTAAAAATCATGACGCTGTACCCCACGGTTTACGTTCTAGGGGGCGCCAAAGATAACCCAAAAATCCACATTCTTCAAAGAATCCACATCCCCCCCCCCCCCCCCCATATGGCAGGAGAAAAAGTTAAGTTTTTCCTGCCCATCGCTCAATGGCTCAATCGCATCGCTCTCCAGGCAACACCGTAAGGAGGAGCAACCTGCCATTTCGATATATCATAGCTGTGTTTGTGCCCTCACTCATGGTCCAGACTTTTTTCAAATAGGACATGAAGTTTGTCTGCAGCGAGTGTTTTGGTAGAAACTGCGCCTCCCATTCATTATAATAGGAAATGACCACAGACAAGTGCGCACACCATCTTTGGATCTTGAGTGTGACGCGATCGGGAGGGGGAGGCGGTCGCACTGGGGGCGGCGCGACACGGCTCGGGCCCGACAGTGCCCCAACGGGGTCCTAGTGTTATTAGGGCCCGAGCGTAGCTGCTAAGCAGCTGCGAGAGCCCTATTATTCCCCAAGTGGTTTTTCTTTGTTTCTTTTTTCTTTTTCCTCCCCTTTGAACTGGAAAATGGCCCACTTCCCACTGGCGAAAACTCATGAAATTTGGCAGGACGACCGGGCCTGGTGAAAAATTTGATATTCCGAAGTCGCCCAAACAAGAAAATGCAAAATGGCTCCATAGCGCCCCCTAAGGTGAAAATTCACACTATTGACTGTCACGCCTGTACGCTTTGTCAAAATGACACAAAAATTGACACACACATGTATCTCAATAAGATCTACAAAAAAGTCAGTGCGGGCGTATCTGTCAAATGTACGGTTAAAGGGTTATTTCGCATTTTTTGCCGATCCGCACACATTGGAATTTCGCTAACTCCTCCGAAGGCTTTCGTTCCACCGGCACCACATTTGCTCAGGCCAATCTACACCCCATGGCCATTAAAAGTTATTCAAATCATGACGCTGCACCCCACGGTTTAGGTTCTAGGGGGCGCCAAAGATAACCCTAAAATCCACATATTTAAAAGTCTTATAACTTTTTATTTTTGCCCTCACTGGCCTCCAAGTTTTCTAGGATGATGCAATGTCCAGCCATCAACACATTTGTGAAGGAATTTTTACTCCCCAAAAGAGCGCCCCCCCATGGCAGGAGAAAAAAGTCCATTTTTTCTTGTCCCCTAAGGTGAAAATACACATTGTTGAGTGTAACACCTGTACGCTTTGGCAAAATGACACAAAAATTGACACACACATGTATCTCAATAAGATCTACGAAAAAGTCATAGCGCGCGTATCTGTCTAATGTACGGTTAAAGGGTTATTCCGCATTTTTTGCCGATCAGCACACATTGGAATTTCGCTAACTCCTCCGAAGGCTTTCATTCCACCGGTACCACATTTGCTCAGGCCAATCTACACCCCATGGCCATTAAAAGTTATTCAAATCATGACGCTGCATCCCACGGTTTAGGTTCTAGGGGGCGCCAAAGATAACCCTAAAATCCACATATTTAAAAGTCTTATAACTTTTTATTTTTGTCCTCACTGGCCTCCAAGTTTTCTAGGATGATGCAATGTCCAGCCATCAACACATTTGTGAAGGAATTTTTACTCCCCAAAAGAGCGCCCCCCCATGGCAGGAAAAAAAAGCCAATTTTTTCTTGTCCCCTAAGGTGGAAATTCACACTATTGACTGTCACGCCTGTACGCTTTATCATATTGACACAAAAATTGACACACATATGTATCTCAATAAGATCTACAAAAGAGTCGATTTGCGCGTATCTGTCAAATGTACGGTTAAAGGGCTATTTTGCATTTTTTGCCGATTCGCACACATTGGAATGTGGCTAACTCCTCCTAAGGCTTTCGTCCCACTGACACCAAATTTGCTCAGGCCAATCTACACCCCATGGCCATTCAAAGTTGTAAAAATCATGACGCTGTACCCCACGGTTTACGTTCTAGGGGGCGCCAAAGATAACCCAAAAATCCACATTCTTCAAAGAATCCACATCCCCCCCCCCCCCCCCATATGGCAGGAGAAAAAGTTAAGTTTTTCCTGCCCATCGCTCAATGGCTCAATCGCATCGCTCTCCAGGCAACACCGTAAGGAGGAGCAACCTGCCATTTCGATATATCATAGCTGTGTTTGTGCCCTCACTCATGGTCCAGACTTTTTTCAAATAGGACATGAAGTTTGTCTGCAGCGAGTGTTTTGGTAGAAACTGCGCCTCCCATTCATTATAATAGGAAATGACCACAGACAAGTGCGCACACCATCTTTGGATCTTGAGTGTGACGCGATCGGGAGGGGGAGGCGGTCGCACTGGGGGCGGCGCGACACGGCTCGGGCCCGACAGTGCCCCAACGGGGTCCTAGTGTTATTAGGGCCCGAGCGTAGCTGCTAAGCAGCTGCGAGAGCCCTATTATTCCCCAAGTGGTTTTTCTTTGTTTCTTTTTTCTTTTTCCTCCCCTTTGAACTGGAAAATGGCCCACTTCCCACTGGCGAAAACTCAGGAAATTTGGCAGGACGACCGGGCCTGGTGAAAAATTTGATATTCCGAAGTCGCCCAAACAAGAAAATGCAAAATGGCTCCATAGCGCCCCCTAAGGTGAAAATTCACACTATTGACTGTCACGCCTGTACGCTTTGTCAAAATGACACAAAAATTGACACACACATGTATCTCAATAAGATCTACAAAAAAGTCAGTGCGGGCGTATCTGTCAAATGTACGGTTAAAGGGTTATTTCGCATTTTTTGCCGATCCGCACACATTGGAATTTCGCTAACTCCTCCGAAGGCTTTCGTTCCACCGGCACCACATTTGCTCAGGCCAATCTACACCCCATGGCCATTAAAAGTTATTCAAATCATGACGCTGCACCCCACGGTTTAGGTTCTAGGGGGCGCCAAAGATAACCCTAAAATCCACATTTTTAAAAGTCTTATAACTTTTTATTTTTGCCCTCACTGGCCTCCAAGTTTTCTAGGATGATGCAATGTCCAGCCATCAACACATGTGTGAAGGAATTTTTACTCCCCAAAAGAGCGCCCCCCCATGGCAGGAGAAAAAAGTCCATTTTTTCTTGTCCCCTAAGGTGAAAATACACATTGTTGACTGTCACGCCTATACGCTTTGTCAAAATGACACAAAAATTGACACACACATGTATCTCAATAAGATCTTCGAAAAAGTCAATGCGCGCGTATCTGTCTAATGTACGGTTAAAGGGTTATTCCGCATTTTTTGCCGATTCGCACACATTGGAATTTCGCTAACTCCTCCGAAGGCTTTCGTTCCACCGGCACCACATTTGCTCAGGCCAAATTACACCCCATGGCCATTAAAAGTTATTCAAATCATGACGCTGCACCCCACGGTTTACGTTCTAGGGGGCGCCAAAGATAACCCAAAAATCCACATTTTTAAAAGTCTTATAACTTTTTATTTTTGTCCTCACTGGCCTCCAAGTTTTCTAGGATGATGCAATGTCCAGCCATCAACACATTTGTGAAGGAATTTTTACTCCCCAAAAGAGCGCCCCCCCATGGCAGGAAAAAAAAAGCCAATTTTTTCTTGTCCCCTAAGGTGGAAATTCACACTATTGACTGTCACGCCTGTACGCTTTATCATATTGACACAAAAATTGACACACATATGTATCTCAATAAGATCTACAAAAGAGTCGATTTGCGCGTATCTGTCAAATGTACGGTTAAAGGGCTATTTTGCATTTTTTGCCGATTCGCACACATTGGAATGTGGCTAACTCCTCCTAAGGCTTTCGTCCCACTGACACCAAATTTGCTCAGGCCAATCTACACCCCATGGCCATTCAAAGTTGTAAAAATCATGACGCTGTACCCCACGGTTTACGTTCTAGGGGGCGCCAAAGATAACCCAAAAATCCACATTCTTCAAAGAATCCACATCCCCCCCCCCCCCCCCATATGGCAGGAGAAAAAGTTAAGTTTTTCCTGCCCATCGCTCAATGGCTCAATCGCATCGCTCTCCAGGCAACACCGTAAGGAGGAGCAACCTGCCATTTCGATATATCATAGCTGTGTTTGTGCCCTCACTCATGGTCCAGACTTTTTTCAAATAGGACATGAAGTTTGTCTGCAGCGAGTGTTTTGGTAGAAACTGCGCCTCCCATTCATTATAATAGGAAATGACCACAGACAAGTGCGCACACCATCTTTGGATCTTGAGTGTGACGCGATCGGGAGGGGGAGGCGGTCGCACTGGGGGCGGCGCGACACGGCTCGGGCCCGACAGTGCCCCAACGGGGTCCTAGTGTTATTAGGGCCCGAGCGTAGCTGCTAAGCAGCTGCGAGAGCCCTATTATTCCCCAAGTGGTTTTTCTTTGTTTCTTTTTTCTTTTTCCTCCCCTTTGAACTGGAAAATGGCCCACTTCCCACTGGCGAAAACTCAGGAAATTTGGCAGGACGACCGGGCCTGGTGAAAAATTTGATATTCCGAAGTCGCCCAAACAAGAAAATGCAAAATGGCTCCATAGCGCCCCCTAAGGTGAAAATTCACACTATTGACTGTCACGCCTGTACGCTTTGTCAAAATGACACAAAAATTGACACACACATGTATCTCAATAAGATCTACAAAAAAGTCAGTGCGGGCGTATCTGTCAAATGTACGGTTAAAGGGTTATTTCGCATTTTTTGCCGATCCGCACACATTGGAATTTCGCTAACTCCTCCGAAGGCTTTCGTTCCACCGGCACCACATTTGCTCAGGCCAATCTACACCCCATGGCCATTAAAAGTTATTCAAATCATGACGCTGCACCCCACGGTTTAGGTTCTAGGGGGCGCCAAAGATAACCCTAAAATCCACATTTTTAAAAGTCTTATAACTTTTTATTTTTGCCCTCACTGGCCTCCAAGTTTTCTAGGATGATGCAATGTCCAGCCATCAACACATGTGTGAAGGAATTTTTACTCCCCAAAAGAGCGCCCCCCATGGCAGGAGAAAAAAGTCCATTTTTTCTTGTCCCCTAAGGTGAAAATACACATTGTTGACTGTCACGCCTATACGCTTTGTCAAAATGACACAAAAATTGACACACACATGTATCTCAATAAGATCTTCGAAAAAGTCAATGCGCGCGTATCTGTCTAATGTACGGTTAAAGGGTTATTCCGCATTTTTTGCCGATTCGCACACATTGGAATTTCGCTAACTCCTCCGAAGGCTTTCGTTCCACCGGCACCACATTTGCTCAGGCCAAATTACACCCCATGGCCATTAAAAGTTATTCAAATCATGACGCTGCACCCCACGGTTTACGTTCTAGGGGGCGCCAAAGATAACCCAAAAATCCACATTTTTAAAAGTCTTATAACTTTTTATTTTTGTCCTCACTGGCCTCCAAGTTTTCTAGGATGATGCAATGTCCAGCCATCAACACATTTGTGAAGGAATTTTTACTCCCTAAAAGAGCGCCCCCCCATGGCAGGAGAAAAAAGTCCATTTTTTCTTGTCCCCTAAGGTGAAAATACACATTGTTGACTGTCACGCCTGTACGCTTTGGCAAAATGACACAAAAATTGACAATCATGTGTATCTCAATTAGATCTACGAAAAAGTCAAAGAGCGCGTATCTGTATAATGTACGGTAAAAGGGCTATTTTGCATTTTTTGCCGATTCGCACACATTGGAATTTCGCTAACTCCTCCTAAGGCTTTCGTCCCACTGACACCAAATTTGCTCAGGCCAATCTACACTCCATGGCCATTCAAAGTTGTAAAAATCATGACGCTGCACCCCACGGTTTACGTTTTAGGGGGCGCCAAAGATGACCCAAATATACATTACAGTAGACAAAGTAGTTTTGCCCACTGAGTGGCGCCAAAGGGACTTGTCTGTGGAGTCTGTGAGTCACTATTGGCCGTTTTTGACTACTTTAGATTTTACCTTTATATTTCCTCTTACAAAATTTTTACCTTGCCTTGCCTGGTATCATTTTTTTCAGCACAACCTCACCTGTGTCAATTTACAGTTATTTTATCATTTTGACATACTATATTTACACATTGGACCCAAATTCACACACAAAACATAAAATCCGAGTGGAAAAAAGTAACGTTTTTACTGTGAAAACCACAAATATGTGTGATGAACTGTTTTTAAAACTTAAACTTCAAATAAAAATTGTAAACTTCAAAACATATGCAAATTTTTAACAAAGAACATAGTAATTTTCCTCTATTGACATCAAAATGCAGGCAATGGCCCAGGTGTTCTTTGTAAAATTATTTACAAAACACTGTATAGTCTCACAAATGTCACTTTTTATTTATGCCACTACAAAAAAACATGATGTAAATGATGCATGATGTAAAACATGATGTAAAAAACTTGTGTAGATCCTCCTCTATGTTAGTCCATGTGTAATTTTTCCATAATTCTTTGTTTTTTGCAGCATTTTTGTTAGTGTAACTGCAGATTGTGCTGACAGTGTCTATGGCAAAAAAAAAAAAAAAAAAACTGAAAATGCCTCAACATGAACCCCTGGTGGTCTCTGAGGGTGAAACCTGCTAACTGCTGCAGCTCTGTCAGCTTCAGTCTCCCATGCAGAGCTCGGAGCGCATGTGTGGCTCTTCACCCTTAGCAGCGTTGCTAACTCCTCAGTAAGGAAAGCCTGCTTCATGTCAGAGTCTCTAAACTCCAGAAGAAGTCGATAAAAGTCACTTTCTTTCTAAAAAAAAAGTCGTTAGGGGGTCTGAAAAGTCATTGAATCTAACAACAAAGTCGCTAGGTTTGCAACTACGTGTCCCAGACTGCATCCCTGCTGAGAGTCCCTCCCTCCCTTCTCATATTGCAGGAAGAACGTAAGTTCCCGCCCCTTGTCAATCAATCACCATATAATTTTGGATTGGTTGTTGTGGTGAAGTTTTCCACCAATAGGAGAGATGTTGTGGTGTGTTTTTTTTTTTTTTGGCAAGCCTTTTCCGCCTGTAAGACCTGTCGCTAATGTCTGCATGCTATGTTTTCCTGTCTCATACAGCGCGATCGAGCGCCGAATGTGATCAAAATAAGCAGAAAACAAGTATCGCGGACATAATTTATCATAACTCTGGTTTTATTTGGCCTATCAACACAATTTAAAAACTGGTATATAGGTTGAGGTCCTCACTTTTGAGATAAATTGAAACGGAGAGTCAACGAGGCTCCGTCTTGCAGCTACATCCGGTTAAATATGTCATGTGACTTGAACGCACACACACACACACACACACACACACAGACACACACACACACGCACACACACACACTCAGAGTCTGGTTTTTAGCACCTGCAAAAACATGCTATTTACATATTTGACAAGAATGCAGAGGCTCCTTTTGCCCCTGAAAAAAATCAAATTTCAAACACAACTTGACTGGTCATTTCTCCAAAAGACAACCATGAAGCTCCATCCAAACCTGAAGCAGGCAGTTGGTGCATGTGTACAGTAACCTGAGGGGAGTGAGGTGACTGCTTCTGAGGAGAACATGAGCAGTGAAGATTCACCTTAGAGCTAGAACAGAGACGTGCACATGATTATACAGGGGCAGGGGCTCAAGTTTTTTCCAGTCGTTTATACAATATGGAAATTAATGTGAAATTAAAAAACAAAGTATTAATAGAAAGGTAATGACTGTCCTGTGTAGGTGACAGTAATATCCAATAGGCTAGGCACTCACGAGGCTGGCTGTGGCAAGTGTAAGTGAAAGCAACACGCACTGGCAGGAAGAACAGCAAACGCCGATGAAGGAAAAGGGTCTTTGCAGTGATGGGCGTTACCAGAGAGGGCGATGGCCAGAGGACACAAATGGGACGGGGAGGCAGCGCGTTGGGGGGGGGGCGCGACACAGCTCGGGCCCGCCAGTGCCCCAACGGGGTCCTAGTTCTTTAGGGCCCGAGCGTAGCTGCTAAGCAGCTGCGAGAGCCCTCTTGTTCCTGATGGATTCTTCTTTTGTTATTATTATTATTATTATTTTTCCTCCGCTTTAAACTGGAAAATGGCCCACTTCCCACTGGCGAAAACTCAGGAAATTTGGCAGGACGACCGGGCCTGGTGAAAAATTCGATATTCTGAAGTAGCCCAAACAATAAAATGCAAAATGGCTCCATAGCGCCCCCTAAGGTGAAAATTCACACTATTGACTATCACGCCTGTACGCTTTGTCATATTGACACAAAAATTGACACACACATGTATCTCAATAAGATCTACAAAAAAGTCAGTGCGGGCGTATCTGTCAAATGTACGGTTAAAGGGTTATTTTGCATTTTTTGCAGATCCGCACACATTGGAATTTCGCTAACTCCTCCGAAGGCTTTCGTTCCACCGGCACCACATTTGCTCAGGCCATTCTACACTCCATGGCCATTCAAAGTTGTACAAATCATAATGCTGCACCCCATGGTTTAGGTTCTAGGGGGCGCCAAAAATAACCCAAAAATCCACATTCTTAAAAGTTTTATAAATTTTTTTTTTTGTCCTCACTGGCCTCCAAGTTTTCTAGGATGATGCAATGTCCAGCCATCAACACATTTGTGAAGGAATTTTTACTCCCCAAAAGAGCGCCCCCCCATGGCAGGACAAAAAAGTCCATTTTTTCTTGTCCCATAAGGTGAAAATTCACACTATTGACTGTCACGCCTGTACGCTTTGTCAAAATTACACAAAAATTGACACACACATGTATCTCAATAAGATCTACAAAAAAGTCAGTGCTGGCGTATCTGTCAAATGTACGATTAAAGGGTTATTGCGCATTTTTTGCCGATCCGCACACATTGGAATTTCGCTAACTCCTCCGAAGGCTTTAGTTCCACCGCCACCAAATTTGCTCAGGCCAATCTACACCCCATGGCCATTAAAAGTTGTACAAATCATGACGCTGCACCCCACGGTTTACGTTCTAGGGGGCGCCAAAGATAACCCAAAAATCCACATTTTTAAAAGTCTTATAACTTTTTATTTTTGTCCTCACTGGCCTCCAAGTTTTCTAGGATGATGCAATGTCCAGCCATCAACACATTTGTGAAGGAATTTTTACTCCCTAAAAGAGCGCCCCCCCATGGCAGGAGAAAAAAGTCCATTTTTTCTTGTCCCCTAAGGTGAAAATACACATTGTTGACTGTCACGCCTGTACGCTTTGGCAAAATGACACAAAAATTGACAATCATGTGTATCTCAATTAGATCTACGAATAAGTCAAAGAGCGCGTATCTGTATAATGTACGGTAAAAGGGCTATTTTGCATTTTTTGCCGATTCGCACACATTGGAATTTCGCTAACTCCTCCTAAGGCTTTCGTCCAACTGACACCAAATTTGCTCAGGCCAATCTACACTCCATGGCCATTCAAAGTTGTAAAAATCATGACGCTGCACCCCACGGTTTACGTTTTAGGGGGCGCCAAAGATGACCCAAATATACATTACAGTAGACAAAGTAGTTTTGCCCACTGAGTGGCGCCAAAGGGACTTGTCTGTGGAGTCTGTGAGTCACTATTGGCCGTTTTTGACTACTTTAGATTTTACCTTTATATTTCCTCTTACAAAATTTTTACCTTGCCTTGCCTGGTATCATTTTTTTCAGCACAACCTCACCTGTGTCAATTTACAGTTATTTTATCATTTTGACATACTATATTTACACATTGGACCCAAATTCACACACAAAACATAAAATCCGAGTGGAAAAAAGTAACGTTTTTACTGTGAAAACCACAAATATGTGTGATGAACTGTTTTTAAAACTTAAACTTCAAATAAAAATTGTAAACTTCAAAACATATGCAAATTTTTAACAAAGAACATAGTAATTTACCTCTATTGACATCAAAATGCAGGCAATGGCCCAGGTGTTCTTTGTAAAATTATTTACAAAACACTGTATAGTCTCACAAATGTCACTTTTTATTTATGCCACTACAAAAAAACATGATGTAAATGATGCATGATGTAAAACATGATGTAAAAAACTTGTGTAGATCCTCCTCTATGTTAGTCCATGTGTAATTTTTCCATAATTCTTTGTTTTTTGCAGCATTTTTGTTAGTGTAACTGCAGATTGTGCTGACAGTGTCTATGGCAAAAAAAAAAAAAAAAAAACTGAAAATGCCTCAACATGAACCCCTGGTGGTCTCTGAGGGTGAAACCTGCTAACTGCTGCAGCTCTGTCAGCTTCAGTCTCCCATGCAGAGCTCGGAGCGCATGTGTGGCTCTGCACCCTTAGCAGCGTTGCTAACTCCTCAGTAAGGAAAGCCTGCTTCATGTCAGAGTCTCTAAACTCCAGAAGAAGTCGATAAAAGTCACTTTCTTTCTAAAAAAAAGTCGTTAGGGGGTCTGAAAAGTCATTGAATCTAACAACAAAGTCGCTAGGTTTGCAACTACGTGTCCCAGACTGCATCCCTGCTGAGAGTCCCTCCCTCCCTTCTCATATTGCAGGAAGAACGTAAGTTCCCGCCCCTTGTCAATCAGTCACCATATAATTTTGGATTGGTTGTTGTGGTGAAGTTTTCCACCAATAGGAGAGATGTTGTGGTGTGTATTTTTTTTCCTTTGGCAAGCCTTTTCCGCCTGTAAGACCTGTCGCTAATGTCTGCATGCTATGTTTTCCTGTCTCATACAGCGCGATCGAGCGCCGAACGTGATCAAAATAAGCAGAAAACAAGTATCGCGGACATAATTTATCATAATTCTGGTTTTATTTGGCCTATCAACACAATTTAAAAACTGGTATATAGGTTGAGGTCCTCACTTTTGAGATAAATTGAAACGGAGAGTCAACGAGGCTCCGTCTTGCAGCTACATCCGGTTAAATATGTCATGTGACTTGAACGCACACACACACACACACAGACACACACACACACGCACACACACACACTCAGAGTCTGGTTTGTAGCACCTGCAAAAACATGCTATTTACATATTTGACAAGAATGCAGAGGCTCCTTTTGCCCCTGAAAAAAATCAAATTTCAAACACAACTTGACTGGTCATTTCTCCAAAAGACAACCATGAAGCTCCATCCAAACCTGAAGCAGGCAGTTGGTGCATGTGTACAGTAACCTGAGGGGAGTGAGGTGACTGCTTCTGAGGAGAACATGAGCAGTGAAGATTTACCTTAGAGCTAGAACAGAGACGTGCACATGATTATACAGGGGCAGGGGCTCAAGTTTTTTCCAGTCGTTTATACAATTTGGAAATTAATGTGAAATTAAAAAACAAAGTATTAATAGAAAGGTAATGACTGTCCTGTGTAGGTGACAGTGATATCCAATAGGCTAGGCACTCACGAGGCTGGCTGTGGCAAGTGTAAGTGAAAGCAACACGCACTGGCAGGAAGAACAGCAAACGCCGATGAAGGAAAAGGGTCTTTGCAGTGATGGGCGTTACCAAAGAGGGCGATGGCCAGAGGACACAAGTGGGACGGGGAGGCAGCGCGTTGGGGGGGGGACGCGACACAGCTCGGGCCCGCCAGTGCCCCAACGGGGTCCTAGTTCTTCTTCTTCTTCTTATTATTATTTTTCTGCCCCTTTGAACTGGAAAATGGCCCACTTCCCACTGGTGAAAAGTCATGAAATTTGGCAGGACGACCGGGCCTGGTGAAAAATTCGATATTCTGAAGTCGCCCAAAAAATCAAATGCAAAATGGCTCCATAGCGCCCCCTAAGGTGAAAAATTCACATGATTGAGTGTCACGCCTGTACGCTTTGTCAAAATGACACAAAATTTGACACACACGTGTATCTCAATAAGATCTACAAAAAAGTCAGTGCGGGCGTATCTGTCAAATGTGCGGTTAAAGGGCTATTTCGCATTTTTTGCCGATCCGCACACATTGGAATTTCGCTAACTCCTCCGAAGGCTTTCGTTCCACCGGCACCAAATTTGCTCAGGCCAATCTACACCCCATGGCCATTAAAAGTTGTACAAATCATGACGCTGCATCCCACGGTTTACGTTCTAGGGGGCGCCAAAGATAACCCAGAAATCCACATTCTTAAAAGTCTTATAACTTTTTATTTTTGTCCTCACTGGCCTCCAAGTTTTCTAGGATGATGCAATGTCCAGCCATCAACACATTTGTGAAGGAATTTTTACTCCCCAAAAGAGCGCCCCCCCCATGGCAGGAGAAAAAAGTCCATTTTTTCTTGTCTCCTAAGGCGAAAATTCACACTATTGACTGTCACGCCTTTACGCTTTGTCATATTGACACAAAAATTGACACACACATGTATCTCAATAAGATCTACAAAAAAGTCAGTGCGGGCGTATCTGTCAAATGTACGGTGAAAGGGCTATTTCGCATTTTTTGCCGATCCGCACACATTGGAATTTCGCTAACTCCTCCGAAGGCTTTCGTTCCAAAGGCACCACATTTGCTGAGGCCAATCTACACCCCATGGCCATTAAAAGTTGTACAAATCATGACGCTGCACCCCACGGTTTACGTTCTAGGGGGCGCCAAAGATAACCCAAAAATCCACAGTCTTAAAAGTCTTATAACTTTTTATTTTTGTCCTCACTGGCCTCCAAGTTCTCTAGGATGATGCAATGTCCAGCCATCAACACATTTGTGAAGGAATTTTTACTCGCCAAAAGAGCGCCCCCCCATGGCAGGAGAAAAAAGTCCATTTTTTCTTGTCTCCTAAGGCGAAAATACACATTGTTGACTGTCACGCCTTTACGCTTTGTCAAAATGACACAAAATTTGACACACACATGTATCTCAATAAGATCTACAAAAAAGTCAGTGCGGGCGTATCTGTCAAATGTACGGTTAAAGGGTTATTTCGCATTTTTTGCCGATCCGCACACATTGGAATTTCGCTAACTCCTCCTAAATCTTTTGTCCCATCGGCTTCAAATTTGCTCAGGTCAATCTACACCCCATGGCCATTCAAAGTTGTACAAATCATGACGCTGCACCCCACAGTTTACGTTCTAGGGGGCGCCAAAGAGGACCCAAATATCCACATTTTTAAAAGTCTTATAACTTTTTATTTTTGTCCTCACTGGCCTCCAAGTTTTCTAGGATGATGCAATGTCCAGCCATCAACACATTTGTGAAGGAATTTTTCTCCCCAAAAGAGCGCCCCCCATGGCAGGAGAAAAAGTCAAGTTTTTCCTGCCCATCGCTCAATGGCTCAAACGCATCGCTCTCTCTGCAAAACCGAAAGGAGGAGC